GAATATAAATAAATCGTTAAAATATTATAAATGTAAAAAAAATTCTTTCACTCATTTCTAAATATTAAAAATTATATTATATATAAAAATGTGAAGTTTTTGAAATATCGTACCAAGAAATCCCAAGAAAATCATCGAGAGTAATTGCATGTTTCAAATAATTGGGACGCAAGTAATAATATAGCTAACACATGCGATATGATTTTTTTTATTTAAACAATGTCTAACTTTCTCAGCAAAGTACAAGTGATTTTCATATATCCTCGCACCAACAAATAATATTGTTCTCAATAAAATACAATACCTATGCATTTTTGTAATCGTATTTTGTGTGTTTCATGGGTGTTATTGTTTGGATTAATACTGCTACAAAGATTTTTTTCTCGGTATAAAAATGAAACATTCGAAAATAATTGTTGAAATTCGGAAAATGTCGTCAAGCATCAAAAGTTATAAAAATTTGTTTAAGAAATAGAACTGCATATTTTCCAACCTTACTTTTACACGCTTGGATATGTTACAAAGAAAAATTATAGAACCATGATACATTAAACGCGATGCGTACTAAACATATATGTATATGGAAATAATTTTCCTCAAACCTCATGAAAATGTGTGTGTGTGCTTGCGCGCGCGTGCGCACGTGTATGTGTATTTGTAATACCAATTTACATACATCGTATTCCAAGCCGAAAGTTTAGTAAAACAACTTACATATTTACAGTTATAACATACGGAAAAACGTTAAAAATAATTTTGTATTTGTTACCTTCACAAGGAATATAAATCGTTTAATAATCCACGTTCGGGCTCTTTATAGATTATCTTTTACATGAATAAACAAAGTATATGTATACTGTACTTTTTAATATAGACGTATTTAAGTACATTTCAGACATATATGAAAAAAAAATTCTTGGTTTACAATGTAAAGTTTTTATAAATAGGATGAAAAATTGAAAACCCCAACGTAGATGAAAAATATTTTACGCAAAAATTTTTTGGAATGTCTCAAGAGTAGCATTTTTACCAAGCGTTTAATGGGTAGAATGTTTAAACGAATTTTTATAAAAATGGTATGTCTATGTCGTTCCATATTTGAACGTGACGTTACATCATTCAAAATATTTAATTATTGCTATAATTGTAGTATTAAATATAATCAAAAAATATCTATTGTTATTTTTCCTGTACTTTTCCCTTCATATTTATTGTAAGATGTGATAATGATAATGCAGTAAAGTATGAATTCCGATACAATAATGGTCTTATAACGTTTGTATCATCTTCCCTACTTCATTGATGCAAAAAATGTGTCATCTCAAAATAATGCTCTTTGTTTGCATTCCGTCCAAAAATTGGCAGCATTTGTAGGCTTGTATCGTTTAGTTAGTTTCATTATCGTACCGAACAATTTACCTTTAAAAAAGAACTGTTTTAAAATTTATATGGCGTACCAGACAACCACATATTATAGATCTAACATTCAACCTTCCGTACATATTATTCATTATTGTCGCATTCCCTCTCACATTCATACATTCATGCTTTCAAAAATCTTGACACCTACTCTTTTTTATAGGAACCGCGTAATTACCTTATATTGAAGATATGCAATACAAAGAGGCACGCGATATCCCTACATCTTTCTATATTATATTATTGAATATTAGTATCTAATAATTCAATATATGTATATCAATAAAGGCCACAAGTGTATTCAATATAAAATTACTAATCAGTAGTTTAAGTTCGTTCATACTAAAGTAGTATATATAATTTTATAAACAGTTCGTATATCGTGCTTACTTTTCTCTATTTATTGTGAAGACGGATGTCATTGATTTCATATTTCATAAATTAAGCGGTCGCTTATATATTATCAACATATTGCAGGTTAATATTTAGAGATTATTTATAGTTACTCTAAAAAAATAACGATAAATGCTCCATACTGCGTTAAAAGACTGAACTATTTCTTCAAGTGCATCAAGTGTTGTAAATAATAAAATAATAAATCGAAATAAAACTGGAACTGATATGTATATGTCGTAGATATACAGCGACCATTATTGACAAAAGTAATCGTAATTCATCAACAAAAGCAAGTCATGACGTAAATAACAACACAAAATATTTCTCGGGCAAATCCTTATCAAGGACGGACAATACGCAACATGATAAGGACCGCGACGGAAAAGTAATCAGTGAAAAAAGTCACAGATGTGGCATTACGCTCAGTGACCGACATAATACTTTGGAAAAAAAAAAAAAAATACTGGCGCGCCGGTGCTCAGAATCTTGTGTACAACTTGTGTGCTTGGGCAGAAATAAAATAATATTCACAAATTATGTAACACATTTTCTTGATATTATAGCAAAAAAAGCTATCGTTAGAAAAAACAACATTAGCTAACAACATAGCTAAAATAACGATGTTATAATGAATTAATGTTAAATATTTTACAGCTAAAACAGCAAGAAAATTTACGCTTGTTATGAAAAAATATATAAACATTTTCCTTTATGAAAAACTGCTTAACAATGATCAACGTGGAAGCATACGTGGAAGACGGCGCAAATTGATCGCTCGTCGCGTTCCTTGCCAATAATGAGAGCTTTTTACTTATCTGTACTTCAGAGTATAGAATCACCATCAAAAAATACATATTACAAACTTTACATCGCTGTAAACTGAAAGTAACTTATATCTCAAAACATCTCAAGAAAAAGTAATATAAAACTATATGTTTGAAGTTTTACAAATTGTCTTTGTATAGATCAATCAGAGAATCTGTATGTCTCTCATATATAAGTGATTACTGAGTTCCATGCGTACACGAAATTCAAAGAGAATTTAAAGGCAGGATGAAATGGGCACACAGTATTGCCTTTACGAATCTCACGAAGCGTTTTATATTTATCACGACCTTGTTTCACATTTTCCCTGTGAATTTTATCCATAACAGTTTCTTTCGATTCATCGCGTGACTGTGCAAGGTCTTGCTTCAATGCCTGAAACATATGATTTTTATTCAAACGCGTTCATGGTTGTTTTGTTAAATTTATAGAAAATAAGAATCATCTTTACCTTAAGCTGGTCATGAAGACGTTCATTTCTTTCTGCCAAGGTGCGTCGCTCCTCGACAGGATCAATTATTGATTCGTCAGTTGCAAGATCTTTAGTAACATCACTATGAGAAACTTCATCCTCCCCTTCTTCTTCACCCTCTTCGTTTTCTTCAACATGATGATGATGTGGTGTTGTATTAGCCTGATATGCTCGATCAGCTTCTTCTTGTCGTAATCTATGTATACAAAATTATCAATATAAAATGCAGATTAAAATACACATTCTTCTCTTATACATCAAACAAAACAAAGAAAAATTACTTACTTGGCAGCTTCAAATACTTCTTCCAATCTCCTTGCTTCTGCATCTTTTGCTACTACTTCGGATTGTATACGTTGTATTTCTTCTTGTTTAGCTCTTATTTCTTGTTCGAGTTTAGCACGCTCTGCGGCTTCCATTTCATGTGAAAGTTCAAGTTTTTCCATCATCGCTGTAAGTTCCTTCACAGAATAAAAGGATATATAGAAACATATCTTACACGAAGATTATAATTAATATTAAACTACACTTACTTTCTGACGATCTTCCAATTCTTCTTTTGCAGCTTGTAATTGTTTAAGGTGCTCTTCTAAACGTCGAATCATTTCTTGGGCTTCATTTAATTCTGCTTGTCGCCTATCCATCTCTTCTGCCATAAATCGCAGCCTTTCTTCATATTCTTGTTGTTTTCTTTCCGCGCGTTCTCTTGCTGCTATTTCTAGTTGTAACTTTTCTCTTTGTTGTTGTTTTGCAATTTTTTCCTCTCTCGCTTGAGCCTTTAAATTAAAAGTGTTTTATTTTATAATTACAAGAATAATTCATTATTTACAATACAAATTACTCTTGATATTCAAAAGTAGAAAAATGTAAAGAAAAAGAATCCATTGCAAAACAGTAAGCAAGACACAAGTATTAGCATAAAAAGAGTACCTTCATTTGCTGTACATCAATTGTATCAGGTTTACGCCTACGCATATACAGCTCATGATTTCCCATACACAGTGCCAAAATTCGTTTATTAATTTTAACTCTAGTTGCAAAGAAGACGAAATCCGGCGCCTTTTTGTCAATCGGTTTAATTATGAATTTCTTCTCATTGAATGAAATATTTCTGATCTCAGACCAGGGAAAACCAATTTTTGGCGTCAACTTGTCATCCTTCTCGTATATATTCAAACCCAAGGCATCTACACCTAACCAAAGATCTGTACCTTTTTTATTACGAATTTCAAAATAATTCACTCCGTACATTTCCAAATCCTGCAAAAAGAAAATGGAAAAAATATATATTAATTTAGAAATAAATACGTGAAAAATAAATTAAAAATACTAAATCGTTACCTGAGCGATTTTCAGATATTCCATCATAGCATCCTCGCGTAACATTCCACGGTGCTCTTGCCACCAATTAGTGATGGAAGTTTCCCATTCTTCTGTGCTCATTTTGTGTTGGTTCACGACTCGTTCTGGTAGTAAGCGGTCATTTATTAAAAAGCCAGCAGTGTGTGTACCTCTTTGAAAATCTCCATGTTTCGCTTGGACTGCATAAGAGGCTAACAATACAGATGTTTCCGGAGGACAGTAGATTTCATCCGTAAGGATAGCATTTTTCACCTAAATACAGTTTACATACAATAATACTTCGGTATAAATTTGTCTATTATAAAAATAAACCTATTATATAATTCCTACAGATAACATCAAATTATAATATACAATAAGAGAACTGAGAAGAAATCTCCATATAATTAAATTAATTATGAACTCAACTGAAATGAAGTGCAATCTCGTGCACTTGTCTTAATAAAGAAATTTTTCATTTTTGAGAAGAGCGTATATAGACGTCCATACGATGTATAGAATTCACTAGAATTTTTTTTACACTTCACACGTATGGAAAAGAAAACAACGAAATGTTTATAGCATAAAGAAGGCAAACTTGCATCACAAACAATAGAGTACTTCATATACCAACACTGAGTAATAATTGTTTTGTCTGGTACACAATGAGCGCTTCTCATCTTAAGCGCACCATAGCGAAAAGATTAAGAAAGATTACTGACTCCCTATTTTTTATACAAGATTAACTCTCTTGAAATGCCATTTTAATATAATTGTACATGAATCTGGTTTACAAATCAAACTGAAGAATAATAAAAAAATTGCACGATTGAGCCAATTCATTAATACAACGACAAATTTTTCTTTAGAAACATAAAAAGATTGGTCAAATTTAAGCAAAACCATGCTGAATATAATGCAATATACGTTTCTAACGTATTGCATATTCAACGTATCACGTTGATCTACAATAGCTCATAAATGAACTGAATGATAATATGCAGTTATGTACTCAACCTTGTTCCAGTCTAATGCAATTCTACTTACAATACTGAATAGTTGAATTATCAACCAACATTCTATTATAGTGTTCTTTAAACTTCCTTTCAACAATAATACTTTGAAGGACATTTGTATTATAATAAATACAGGGTGGGTCATGTAAAACAGACCACCTAATTGTCTTCCCTAGCTATGGTGGTACAAGAAAATTTGTACACATAATTTAAATAGATTCAAAGAGTGAATACGGTAGAAGTAAATTTTTTTTATAATTGTCATTTCTTTTTTGTTTTTCTTTTCAAGGTCGCTTATGTTTTTTTACATAAATGTATATATTTTTTCTACTGTATGTTGCAACAGACATTGATGTGCATTTAAACATGCATAATAACCTGATCTTAAAATGACCTCAGACTCCAAAATTTGAAATCAAATATGAAACTTCCTTTCATTTCTTGCAATTTCTTCCATCAGAAAATTTTTCATTCATCGTATTCACCCTCTGAAACAATTTAAATCGGGTATAAAAATTTTCTTATAACACCATAACTAGAGAAGACAGTTGAGTGGCCTGTTTTACATGGCCCACTCTGTATAGTAAACTTATTATAAGAACAACATACAACCATTCTAATTTTGGTGCATTTACAAAAGAAATTCATGTAAACCTATACATTTGTATTTTATCTTATACTATTACTATTCTCTAGTATAAAGCAAATTCAAGAAATGGTACTGTATTTACAAACTGACCATTACAATTAAACATGGTAATCGTCAAAAAATTCGATAAATACAGACTGAGAGATTAAACCATTAAATAAAACCACTTAAACGCAAGATATGTATCGCTACATTTAATTTACTAATTTTAAGCAGGTGCAGCATCCTGAAGCACTTAAAAATAGAGATACACCATCCTGAGGCGCCTAAAAATCGGTTTGGGAATTTTTTTCATAGGTAATTATTAAATGAAAAGTTTCAATTTTTTCAGAAGATATAAATGTAACTTTCAGTTTCTTTCTGTAATTTCAATGGACGAGTTATTCGCTAATTGCGAAACCTCTTCTGCTAGAACATCGATTGCTGTCCACGATCGCCGCTAAGCATTAGAATATCTGAAATAAAAAACTCTTTTTGATTTATAAATAAAAGTGTATTACTTACAATGTAAAGTAAGATTTTTCAAAAATTGTAATTGTTACCGAAATGGTGGCAGTTTGAAAAAAAAAAAGAAAGAAAATGCAGGTAATACATTTTTATTTATAAATCAAAAAGGACTTTTTATTTCAGACATTCCAATCCTTGCCGACGATGGCGGCCAGCAATCGATGTTCTAACAGAAGATGTTTTTCAATAACTCCTTCATTCTGTAACATATTTACTTTTGAAAAATTGTAGAAAAAAACTGAAAGTTACACTTATGTCCTCCGAAAAAAATGAAAACTTTTCATTTAGTAGTCACCTATAAAAAAAATTCCCGAACTTAACCAATTTTTAGGCGCCTCAGAATGGTGTATCTCCTTAAGAAACGTTCGAAGAGATTTACCTGAAGGTAAAATAGACGCAACGTGATGTCTTGAATCAATTCCTCGGCAACATCTTCAGGGTAGAACTTGGCGCGAAACTTGAACTGCAACGGAGTCTCCTTCTTGACTTCCTGGCTCATCACCTAAAACGTTTACCGACTATTAATAATCAAGCTTTGCAACAGCAAACGTGGGAGCTTGAAAACATAAAGTAACAAACTGAAGCACTCCATCATCTGAAAACGTGCGAAGTGTTTCACATTAATGTACACAAAACAGAATAGTGATATTTGCATGCAAAGTCGGAAAAGGAGGAAAATAACTCTCTTATGATATAATTCGATGTTAAATGACCGATACGACACTGAAATGATCGACATAACTCTTTTTATCATATTATCGACGAACATTGTGTCGCAGAGATATTAATATTACGGATACATCGTTTGTTAAATGGACTCTCGATTTTGGTAGAGATAATCTGTTTTATTATGATCTGGAAGGTTATATCTCTATTCGTGATCTAACAAACTTGTACGATTGCAGTACACGGGACAGGTGAAACCTTTATTGAGTTTTCTTTTATTAGTCGCTATAAGATACAAATGCGATAGAGAATGGTGCAGATATTTTATTAATGGAAAATGACATTTGCTAGAACGTTTCGATTAAATGGCACGATTATCTTTACTCGCATAGGTATGCGAATATCTTATCATTGTAACCGAAAAAAAAAAAATAATAAGGATTATATGATGAAAAGTACTAAGCAATGGCTTTACACCTTTAAAATTACTAACATCACCGCACTGGAAGTTAAAAATAATTGCACAATGTGCGGAATCGTTTATGCGAATTTCAATTATTTATTCTCATCAGATTAAATAATTGTAGAGTTAATTGCAGAATTCCTTTTAACTGAAAACATTTTAAAAAAAAAAAAAAAAAAAAATGCAGAGTAAAGTCTAAATGAATATACACATCTGATAACAGTTGAAAACACCCTCGCTGAACGTTTTATTAAATATAATTATAGATGGTAGATGTGAGTGTAGATGTGTATAACTCACATTGTACATATTGGAATAAATATATTTTATTAACCTTGAAAATGTCTAAAATTATTATCAGAACATTTACTGCACTACGATGAAAAAGAGGATTAATTCTTTCATTGTAAATAAAATATTATTGAACAAAATTTGGTCTTAATTTTCGTTAGTTTTTTGAGAAAACAATAAAACAGTGATATTAACATCTCGTTAATTAACTTTTATTCTGATTATGAAGTTCAATCGAACAATTATTGTACTATACTTGACGAAGTCAACTCGAAAGATATGAGGAACGTGAGAATTCAACTATAACAGTACAAAATAATTAAAAGTACGAATTTTCTTAAATATTTACTCCGAATATATTTATTTTTCATTTTTACCAACAGTGTTTACTGCTTTACGCCTGTTTGCATAATTGACTATAACAGAACACGTCAGAGATTGTCTAAAGTTACATAAAAATGTACGAGAAGGAATTTAAATGAAACTAGAGTTACTTTGAAGCAAGTAGAATGAAATAATATTGATTATATAACTGGAAGAATGAGATTATTTAAACGCAGTAAAAAAAAAAAAAAGGTATAAATAAAAAAAGATAAATGTATATCATTATTAAGCTCTAATAAAATCCAAGCAAAAAAAGAATAAATTATCGTTACATTTAACGTTCCGTTCATAGAAAATTTAACGTTTTCGTGTCATTGTGAAAAATCCTATAAAAAAAAAAAGAAAAACCGAGACAAACTAAACGTAAGTAACATAAAAGAATGTGGCGTGTCAAAAGTTTCTGATCAAATGAAATTATCCAGCTACCAATGTTCTTTAGGTGTGCAAGCAAATTCAAGTAATAACATATTTCCTTAGATACAAAATGTAGATAAAAGATAAAACGATAGATAAGTGTACTTTCTGATTTTTATAGTAAAAAGAAATTTCTGCATTTAACCGATCAATTCAGCACACAAATATCTCACCGTTTCATATCTCGCAAAATATTGTTCTGCAAAATTTTCTTAAACAAAGAAAAACGAATGAATCTATGATTTTAAGAACAATGTCAATGCAAACTACTGCAAAAATTATTAATAATTCATGAAACTTTCCATGACGAAATGTTTGAAAAATGAATAATTTTTCAATTCGAGTAGAACTAGAAGATTTCGAGAAGACAATTTTCCAAAAATTGTAAAGATAGAGAAGTACAAACATGTTCGTCGAAACATCAACAAATTTCACTGAAATACACAATTGTCCCTACTGTACAACCTAGTAGTTAACGTTAATTTCAATATCCGCGATAAATTCACGTTACTTAATAGGAAATCATTTTCCGGACTCGCATAAAGCGAGTTCACGGACGTGGTCTCCAGTCATGTTCGACTCTCGTAACACATGTTCAAGCTCTGCGAATGCGGAACCGTATCCGCCAGATAGTTCACGCACGGAAGTGTCAATCGGATCTCTAGACAGAATTACCTTGACCGCAGCTGACATCGCAGTTCAATGTCGGTGATACGACTTTTCATAATTATTATTGATACCTATGCACGGTTGTATAATTTCACGGACAAAAACAAGGTACTCGTGACCAAAGGAGCAAAGAAAAAATAGAAAGAAAAAAAAGAAGGAATGATAATGACGATCACTAAGAGGTGTATGTACATAAGTGGAAAGCTGCAGGTACGACAAAAGCATGTGAATATTTCTGAAATACGTTGACGGATAAATCCGTTGCTAAATAAAAAATGATATATGCCTCGTTGATATCAGATGTAATCTGAAATCGATTGGATGTATGAATTAACATATTAAGCGCCATCGTGTAATAAAAATTATGCCGCTTTTGGCCACTGTGTATTTAATGTTTCTTTTTTTTTTAAATGCACAGAGCTTCGATTAAATCAGTTTTATATTTATGTGGTTTATGAGTTTTTATTTTCGACAATTACCCATACATGTATGTTCCAAATCTGAATTTTCTACGAAGAGAAGATTTGTATCGTGAAAGTTAAATCTGTTATGCTATTTATACCGATTGGGATAAAAAAATTGCTGACCACCAGAGTGTTCTGGACAACTGGCCACCCTAAAATCTTTCCTACAATTGTACGTTTAAAAATGAAGACAGCAGAATCTGAACGAAGGACACAGTGTCCAAACTAACATAGATGGCCGATTAGGCCAGAAAGTATTGTATTTATATGGATACAAATGGCGCTTAATTTGTTAAATAAAAAGCGATATATGCCTCGTGAAGTCATTCCGTAAGTTCGTGTCGAGAAAATATTTTAATGAAAATCCAAGGAAATATTAGACGTACAAATTAATTTGATGCCTTTTTTCACAAAGTCTTCACGAATTTGTCGACTCAACACCGCCATATTTTTTGGAAGATGGAATTCGTCAGTTACCCAATAAATTTGAAAAAGGTCATCTGAAATAACGGAGATTATTTTGAACATTAAAACTGTGCTTAATTTTTTGTAAATAAACATTGAAGTTTGGTGAGAAATGGCGCCGAATTAATTTGTACACCTAATAAGCGACGACATAATGGTGTTACCAAAAAAAAAAAAAAAAAAAGAAATAGAATTAAAATCAAATTTTAAGGTTCGTTGAAAATATTGATCTAAATTATAAAATTCGACGCGAACTTATGGGATGACCTAATACTAGATGCAATCTGAAATCGATTGCAAGTTTGAATTAACAGTACTCTATACGCTACTTCAAAGAGGTCTAGAAATGAAGCGAAAACGCAAGTTGAACAGTAGCCGCCCGTGAGTGGCCACTAGATTTTCTTCACCGTTAGATGCTAACCGACAACGTTTAAGTTTATTGATTTTAATTAGGTCTACCATAGTTAAACTTTAAATGCATTTGCTTGGA